GCGTGCAGACTCCTACCTGACCTGGTGCTCCAGGAAGCTCATGTAGCGGTACAGCAGCGTGTAGGAAGGCGACAGGATCCCCACCGACTTCATCCTCGCCCCCCTCTCCACCGTGCTCTCCACGGCCATGTTGGCGAAGCAGGCGAGGCCGAAGTAGGAGCCCTTACGGAAGTATCTGAGGAAGGAGAGAGAGGGAGACAGATGAGGCCATGAGTCATGAAAAGCAAAGGCGCTGCCAGATGGCTGGGCTGTTTTTTTTTTTCTCTCTCTCTCACTAGGCAACACTTTCTTTCGCTCTGTCCTGCCAGGACGGGGACATGGGGACGCATCCTAATACTTAAAATTAGCCTCCTCGGCTCTGTTGCTGGGTTCGGCTGATAAAGAAGCCGAAGAACTCGCTGGACTCACATGAAGTCTGTGGTGACTCGGTGGGAGCCGCTGGCGATGGCTTTGAACTCGACTCCCTCCAGGTCCATGTCTTTGGGCAGACACCACTCCAGCATGTTTCCTACCAAACAACAAGACACGATAATGAAACGCAGACAAGCAGACAAACACCAGACAGTCATCTCACGAAACAACAACTCCAGTTCCTCTGAATTCATTACACTGAACGTCGGAGCGACAGCTGAGCAAATATTCTCTGATGGGAGCAGGAAAACAGAGACGGTGACTCAGACGGTGTGGCTTCCAGTCTCATCACCAGATCCGTGCATCGGCCCGCCGGGCTCCTGCAGAAATATGAGCCGGTCGGACGTCAGACTGAAGCTGCAGGTTTGGATCGAGATTACGAGACACCTGCAGCCGAACACCGAAGATGCTTTATTGCCACTTTGACAGCTGGTGCTGACTTAAAGTGTTTAACTTTGGGTGTCGTGCAGAGCTGAGAGCCTGTTAAAGTGGTTTTATGTCTTATGAACGGGTCGCTGCTGGAGGAGGAAATGTCGAGGTGTAATTTTTTAAATAAAATCCGGCTGCTTTCTTTTGATTTCTAGCATATTTGGGAAGAATCCTCCTGAAATCGGTGTCGTGTCGAAGCATTTTTTGAGGGAATTTCTGATTTTATCGACTACCTGTTTCCAAAAGCCATCATCTAAGCAGTTTGATGCACCTCGTAGATGAGATCAGATGCTGTTTACTTGTATTGTAACATCTCATCAGAAACCACTTCTACTTTTTAATGCATTCTTTGGTTCTCTTGAGTTTTGTAGCACGAATCCTCTACCTGCTTCCACGAGAATATCTATCCCTCATCCTATCAGCCTGATGAAGCACTACTATGGTGGAAAACTGCAATTAATCCTAATTAGGTTGTAATAAATCATCTAATTGCTCAGCAGGCCTGTCGAAGCTGAAAGTTTCTGGCAGATATTTTAAGTCTAGGAACTATTTCCAGTGTCTCTTGTTCATATTGGGCTGTGAGCCTCGTGTGGCAGCTGTACTTTGCAATAATATGTTTAAAAAAAGGATTAAAAAGTACTTTTTTTGTCAGAATGGCATCTTCAAAACTTCTAAACTTCAGATTTTAAACCACTTCAGCGACACCCATAGGCGTAGATTTCAGGGGACTGGAGCTCAAAAGATATATGTTTAGAATTATAATTGAATAAAATGTGAAATATAAAACTGGCCACATTCAAACAAAACAAAAACAGGCATCAAAGAGGTCAAACACATAAATCCCGCCTGTATTTACATGCTTATCTATATGTGTGGTGACTCAGCAGGAATAATATTAAATGAGAAATGTGAGAATCTTTACTTTATTGCAATATATTATATTTAAAATCATCATCTGGTGTTTTCATTTGGTATTCCTAATGATCAGATTAAGCAAGTCCATGAAGTAATGACATTTTTCTGCCTTTTTATTTTGACAAAACTAATCTACAAATTTAATCACCAGATTGTATGTAACATGTTATTGAATTATATGATTAGATATTAATTTAGGCATGCATAAATCTAATTTTATGATGTATTTAATGTAGTCTTTGGTAAATAAATGATGTTTTTCTTTCTAGTTAACAATGAAAGAAGTGCACTTAAGCTGCTTTAAGGTAAAAAGTACTGGTCATAGAGGCAGATTTAAGGTGGAATGCAGAGAAACTGCTGCTGGAACAAGGCCTCCAACAGTCTTTACTCCTTCTAGTCTTTTTGTTATTGCAAAAAATATGAATATAAATTCCAGGCTCATACAATCACTGAGTCTATCGCGGACAACGTATTTAGATCCATATATATTCTTTAATGTCTTTAATTTTTACATGGTGCCTGAATTTTGTGCTTTGCTTTGAAAACATTTCCACCATAAACTGATGCAGAAAACTGGTGCATAAAAATTCACCAGAGCTCAGGAAAATCACTCAGAATTTCCTTTGGGAGGAACCACAGACTGAATGTGTCCCTTAAATGAAACCCTACACCCACATTAGCACCTGCTTTTCTCCTCTGTTTTAGGGCAGATTTTTCCTTTTAATAAGTAGAAATTGAATTAAAATTGTGAAATAAATAGATAAATATAACCTAAACCATACAATATATCATGTTTTTGTGAAGTTTTACCTTCTCAATCCTTCTACATGAGAAACTAAACAATTTATTTTGTGTTTTTGTTCAATTTTATGTGCATTTTCTCCACAGTCTTAACATCTGAGGGACATTTAACTGTGCAAACTATCGACATTCCTTCACGTGTCTTGAAGAGACTTTGTGCAACTACTTACTCACTGTTGCACCCCAGCTTTCTTTTAATTCTGCAAATGACAAAGCTGCACATTATCTACTGTCTGCCTCGACATCGTGATGTGAACAACCGTCACACTGCAGGTTGTGTAACGTGACCTAAGGCAAATGCATCATGCTCCAGTGTTTTTGTGCTTGACACAAAAAGAAAACCTGCACGAGTCTCATTTTTGATGACTAAAAAAAAAAAGTCTGTCTGATAGAATTTACTCCAATTTAAGCGTTTTTGGAGTTTTTCTTCAACTTTATTTACAAGATTTTGTTAACATGCAGGATCCAAGTGTGTGAAGAACAGGAGAGAAACACGGAAAAGAAAGATCTGGTAGAGAAAAGAAATGCAACGTCAACTGTATGGAAATATTTCAGGATTATGTTGAGCAAAAATAGGTACTTTGTCTGCAGTCTCTTACAATAGTTGGATGTTTTAACCATTTAAATCAGCACCATGAATTTGTGAAAAGCCAGATCTGACTGCCATCCAAAGCAAAAAAAACTATTTTGGATGACTGTGCCAGCGTTACACCACCTGAGAAAGGCTCCAACTGTTCTTTTTCAGCTTGTTTTTTAATTACTTTTTATTGTCGATGCAGATACGCTCCCCTGAAAAATCCCCTTGATCATTTTAAATGACTAATTCTTCTTCTTGACTCCTGTTTATTGTTTTTTTATATGTAAAACCCATTTTTTCCAACATTGTGCAGCCCTAATGCATGATGATGGTATATATTATCTTGATTTATCTGATGAAACCTGGTTCCAGTAACAAGGAAACATGTGGCTCATTAGTGGACACGGCAGCAGTATTGACTGCACAGGGCAGGAATTGATCCCACTGGTCTTCAAATTGAGCCATTTCCTGCAAAAGCGGCTCTGTGACCTGGTGGCACTAATTAAATATTGATATATATTTAAAATTCACATGATTTCACCCCATTCTTCTGGTCTCGTGCTGCAAAACCATAAAGTGGTCCATGCAGCTCCACCCTGATTTCAATCTCCTGTGTTCAAATGAGCTTTTCTCCATCATTTGAAAGCTAAAATCCTCCTCTTCAACGTGCCCCTCATTAAACATGCATGGGCCTTCTCTGCACAAACCACCAGCTGATTGATCTCCAGCACATCCTGACATTTTAGCAGGTGTGTCCAGGCTGCAGATGGCTGTCAGTGATGTCTCTAAACTTATGGCCAGGTCAGAGAAGCCACACCTGTAGGAGAAGAGTCTGCATCCTGTGCGTCTGACACATCAGCTGCTTGCATTTGGCACGACAGCATTCATTTTTATTTCCAGGCTATAAACATTAAACCACCTCCTTTTTTTCTCCTGTGATTCTTTTGTGTTTTCACAATCACATACTGTACATTATTTTTTACCTGATCTGGTATTGAATGTAACCACAAAGACGGACACAATCTGGTCCTTTTCCTCCCATTTCACCATCCTCTCCTCCAGCGACACCTCCCTCGGTCCTGCATCCGAGAGATGCTCCTCCTCGTCGGGCGCCAGCGCTCCATCCGTGCCCGCCGGAGCGCTGGAGGTCGCGGGCGGGGCGCCGCAGCCGTCTGAGGCAGCCCTGATGGGAGTGGGACCCCCCGGTCCGCTGCTCCACCCAAACCCCGGCGCGGCGGAGCATCCTGATAAGGCACGGCTGTTGGAGGGGCTCGACAGTCGGTCCTTAGCGTGAGGAGCCGCGGGAGCAGCACCGCCACCGGGCTTCTCCGCGGACGGAACCTCCTCCCAGTCCAGCAGAGGGGCTCGGTCCGACCGCTCCACCATCCTGTCGGCGGTCCCGCCTCGTCAGTCTCACCGCGGATCGTAAATGATGGCTCAGCCGACGGACACCAGGTCCATCCGCGGACAATCGCACCTCAAAGGGATCCCCGCATCGTCAACTTCCCCCGAACTGTTCACAAGCGTCGCATTTTGCTTCAAACCAACGTTGCGTGCAGCAGCTTTAAACGCGGAGCTTTTAATTCTTTTCTAGTCTCCGGTGATCATAAATTTGATGCTGTTGAGAGAGAGGGCAACTCCTTCGTCTGGTGCGAGTTACGTTCAAAGCCGCTCGCCGTTTATTGTCACAATCCCTTGTCTCGGAGCAGATATTGAACGTTTGTGAACGCGGCACCGTTTCGAGTTCTTGAATGCGCCCTGCAGCACAGCGTCGCGCTGAAGCGTCCTTTCTACAGCCGCACTTTCACAACAAAGATTAATGTTTTTAAAAAGCTTTGCACCCACAATCTAACGTGTAAAAATCTAAAATAGCAATACTGTGCAAATGTGTCGATAAATGTTATTTAAATGCGTCATATTTGCCTCTTTATAATTATTTTACAATTATTGGTGCGATTTGTTTGTGACGAATGTTGCGAAGCGAAATCCAGGCCACGGTTGGTGACATCCACCAGCGACACGTCAACCAGACGGAAGAAGCTCTCTGTCCAACCAGCCTGTCGCTGCATTCGTAAAATTAGGATTTGTTCTTACCGAAATGGGTGAGTGTTTTCATTTTTGGTCAGTTAAATATGTATTTTTCCTTTATTTACATGAAGGGTCCTAATTGGCTGCCGGTGTTTCCCTGTTTCGCTGCTGCCTCTTCCATTTAAAGCGCAGTGCGACTGTAGCCAGCTAGCATGCTAGCTAACGAGAGCTATTTACAGTCATTAATTTGCTATTCAGCCGTGGCGTTTGGTGGTTTCAAGCTCTTCCGAGCTCTGCTATTTAATAATGCATCCACATTGGTAACGGTGTTAAAGCACCAGTTAGCACCAGCGTGCCTCAGAGTCAGTTACCGTTGCTAAGCTAACCTCAGCTAGCTTTCTCGACCACCTGATTGATGCTGACAGTGAACGAGGCCACCAAGCAGGAAAAGTTCAGGTAGTTACAGAATCAGGAAACCTAATCACCGTATTTACTTACTTTGCTTTTCTCACTTATATGTTTATACACTGCCTCTATAGTGCCTCTACTTTTTAAACTTTTATTTTGATAGGCATTGATAAAGTTTTATGTTTTGTTTATGTCAAAAAGATTACTCATCACTAAAACCATGTGTCATATGGTAATTAGTAATCATATACTATCATCATGCATTAGGGCTTCACGACACTGGAAATAAAACTAACATTCGTTTTTCTGTTATATATATTTTGATTTTAAAAAGTGCAGGAGTTTCCACTAGTTATGTCTATTTGGAAAGAATTAATAATTCTGTAATGATTGGGGGGACTTTTAAGTTAGTTCATCCGCATGAAAAGTAATGAAAGAGGCAGTTTTGAACCTTTCTCATAAAAAATATCACTGGCAAAGGGGCTCCACAGTGTTTTTTACTCTGGATGGCTGTCAGATCAGACTTCACACTTGGCATAGAGATTTGTGGGACTGATTTAAAAGGTCAAACAAATTCCCTCGTGTGGTGGCGACATTTTTGGTCAACATCATCCTTCCTGTAGCTGAAATATTTCCATGGTTCCAATATTTTATGGCAAACCAACCTTCCTTTTTCAGAGTCTCTCTCTTTGCCTCTGCAGCAACAATAAAAAATAATTGCATAAAAGCTGTTTGTAACCTTTCAAGGCTGGTGCAGCACTTGTAAAGGCATCTAAAATAATTTTTTTTTATTGCTTTGGATGACATTTAAATCTGGCATTGCTCTTATAAAGCTTTGTGGTGCTCAATTAAATGGTTACAACATTCCTTGTGTTACCTTGTGTAGTGGCAACAGTTGTAAGACATTGCTAAAATACTACCATACAACTAATGCTGCATTTCTTTATGCAACCAAGTCTTCCTTTTCTGTCTGCTGCTGCTTTTGCTTTGCTCATGTGGAGCCTGCATGTCAACAAACCCTGTCTTGAAAGAAAAACTGCAAGAACTCTTGAACTGGAGGAAAAGGTGTTCTACCAGACAGACTTCTCTCCTAGATCAGTCATGGGAATGAGAACCATGTGAGCTTTCTTTTCGTGTCAAGCAACAAAAAAAAAAAATTGTAGCATGATGTGTTGGAGTTAACTTGCCTCTTTTTGCAGTGACTATCCTGAAACTATATATGATGAAGCTGTTGTCCCAGCACTAATTTCTTCTCCTGTGTGTCTTTCCTCCAGGTGGTTTGTTCTCTAGCCTCTTCTCGGGCCTGTTTGGCACCAGGGAAATGAGGATTTTAATCCTGGGTTTGGACGGTGCAGGAAAAACCACTATTCTGTACAGGCTTCAGGTTGGAGAGGTGGTCACCACAATCCCCAGTATGTACCGCTTCCCTCTGTTTCATGCTTGTGCAATCTTTATCCATCCTCGCACACCATCCTTAGATTCAAAACAGTTAAACGCTCAGGTAATCTGATGCACTATTTTTAACCTGGTCTTAGGAGAACAGCTTATTTATGTACTGTGATTAGATTATATTTGGCATTAACCAATAAGCCTGCAGGCAAAAGCTGTCACAGATGTCAACATTCATCTTTGACACAGGTGTTTTGTGAAGTGAAGCTGGTGGGAAAAACCCGTTTCACTGGTTATGATTAATAGGCTTAAACATAGTTACCTCAGTGTGTGCACATGTCAGTAGCACCTTCTTCTAGTGCCTTTAACAAACCACTTAATGTTAACAAGGATAGGCGACACCATTATCAAAAAATATGTGCCAAGTTTGTGTTCGTTAGACAGACAGTGATTTATATAGATGCGTACATGCTTCTTTAAACTCCAAATATAAGATATTCAGCTCAACTATGGACAAGTTTCCTAACAAACTTAGCTTTAGTTACACTGCTGTTGTCCTCTGCAGGTGCAGGTTACTCAGGGTAGCAGGGTTTTCTATGTTATTACCTCTAACTTCCCCCAGAGACGTGCTGTGTCACTGGGGCTTCAGGATTTTGTGGATTACCCTTTAGCTAGAATAAAGACATAATGCTGAATATTTTAAGTTCCATATTTAGAAATCCATGGAAATAATCCCCTAATGCCTTAAAATGGCTTGGATTTAACTGTACAACTCACCCTCCTTTACTATGCACAAACTGAACATGTCCACGCCTCGATCTCCGCCCTCCTTTCTGCCACCCGCTGCAGCTTGAGCACACCAGCTCACCAAGAGCTCTAAAACTACCTGACGCCACACAACGGCAAGTTCTGAAGAAGAATAATAATACAGAGACGTTTCAAATTGACCACATTGGTTTCTTAAATTCTCAGCCATGGGTCGGTTGCTGTTTTTTTTTTTTTTGCTCATTTTATGTCTTTCATCACCTACACAACATTAAAACCACATCCCTAATGTTGTGAAACTTTGAGTGGGTACTAATCACTGCATGCTGGGAACACTGAACAGACATGTTCTGATCTAATCAAAATTTCTTCATTATTATAGTCACTTTTTTCTTGCCTCCAAGACACTCGCTGCTTAATTTCTCACCTCTCGACAGGTGCAAGAGCAACGACATAATCACTGTTGCTCAATTTACCTGTCAGTGCTGTTAGTGTTGTGGCTGATCAATGTAGAAAACACCACATGGTCACATTAACAAGGTTAAAAATTGATTTTTAATAGAGTGAAATGCAATTAATCCTTGACTTACTATTAGTAGGAACAATGGCATGTCGTATGTTTTATTTCATAGATCTAGTGTGAATCATAGTCCGTGATTTATTGCTATAGAGGAAGAGTTACAGTTGAAACCAGAAATTTACATCCACTGTATAAAAAGACACACAACCTTTTTTTTCTCACTGTTTGACATTAAATCAGATTAAACTTTTCCTGTTTTAGGTCAGTTAGGATTACCAACATTATTTCTATTTGCTAAACGCCAGAATAATGAGAGACACTTTTTTATGACTTTCTTCAAAGTCAGAAGTTTACATCCATTTCCTTAGTATTTGGTAGCATTGCCTCTAAACTCTATGACTTGGGTCAAACTTTTTGGGTTTCCTTCCACAAGCTTCTCACAATAGTTTGATGAATTCTGGCCCATTCCTCCTGACAGAACTGGTGGAACTAAGTCAGGTTTGTTGGTCTCCTTGCTCCACTAATGTTCTCCAGGATTGAGATCAGGGCTTTGTGATGGCCACTCCACAACATTGACTTTGTTGCCCTGAAGCCTCTTTATAACTAATCTGGTGCTATGCTGAGGGTCATTGTCCATCTGAAGACCCATTTAAAGCTTTAACTTCCTGCTGATGTCTGGAGATGTTGCTTCAATATTTCCACATCATGTTCTTTCCTCATGATGCCATCTATTAACACCCCCACAGCATGATGCTGCCACCCCCGTGCTTCACAGTGGGAATGGTGTTCTCAGGCTTCAAGCTTCCCCCTTTTTCCTCCAAATGTACCGATGGTCATTAAGGCCAAACAGTTCAGTTTTAGTTTAATCAGATCACAGGACATGTCTCCACTAATGAAGCTCTTTGTCCCTGTGTGTATTTGCAAACTGTAATCTGACTTTTTTTATGTTGCTTTTGGAGTGATGTCTTCTTCCTCCCTGAGCATCCTTTCAGTCCATGTTGGTACAGGACTGGTTCCACTGTGGATAATGACTCTCTGACCAGCTTCAGCAGCATCTTCACAAAGTCTTTAACTTTTGTTCTGGGGTTGATTCAAAGCACTTCATTTCTGGGACACAGAACAGTCTCCTTCCTGAACAGTGTGATGGCTGGACATTCCCATGATGTTTATACTTGCATAATTGTTTAAACAGATGAACGTGGAACCTTCAGGTGTCTGGAAATTGTACCCAAGGTTGAACCAGACTTGCATCTCTTCCTGATATCTTGGCTGATTTTCTTAGATTTTCCATGTTGTCACTAAAGGAAGCAGTGTGTTTGAGGTGTGCCTCCAATTAACTCAAATTTCATAAATTAACCTAATAAAAACGCCCCATGACATCATCATCTGGGCTTTCCCAAATAGTTTGAAGGCATCTTAGCGCATGTAAACTTCTGGTTTAAACTATATATCATGTTGCCAGTACTGTGCCAGTTTTTAAACACAACTCCTCAATTAAAGTTTTGCATATTTTTTTTCTTACCACCTCATATAATCCATTGAGAATAGAAAAGGAACCAAGTAAAAGAACACTGTGTATGTGCGAATCATAATTGCAGCACTCTGCAGAAAAGTCACTGTACATCCTGATAAGGTGATGCTATTAATACTCCTCGTGTTCTCTGTCCTCACCGTCTGGATTTTTCTCCGTGCAGCGATCGGCTTCAACGTCGAGACAGTCACATACAAGAACCTGAAGTTCCAGGTTTGGGATCTGGGAGGACAGACGAGTATCAGGTAGGTGTGAATGACAGATGGTAACGGTGTGTAATTTATGCATATGGAACAGGAACACAGCTCGAAAAAGCAACTTGGAGACGAAATATTAATTATTTTATGAGTCAAATTGGGCATTTTTGAGCAACTAGTTCATATCTGTACCCATATTAACGAGCCTCCTCCTCATATTTCACGTTTGTCGCATTATTTTGTCTCCAGTCTTGCATCATTTCACTGTATAACTGTCATTTGCCCTCTGATGGACCTCGTCTTTGTGCCTCACAGGCCCTACTGGCGGTGTTACTACTCAAACACAGACGCCGTCATCTACGTCGTCGACAGCAGCGACCGCGACAGGATGGGCATCTCCAAGTCCGAGCTGGTGGCCATGTTGGAGGTGGGTGTGACCGTTCTCTGGTGGGCTTTTAGGTGTCTTTGATAGAGCTGTTATCAGTTTGAGAACACCATGGTATCTTGGTATTCCTCTGTTGAACACATAACCTGTGCGTAAAAAGTAGATGCAACCACTGATTTGTGTACTACCGCTTTGTAGCCTTAAATATGCAATTTGCATCTTGGATTTGCCAGGGATAATAAGCGAGCGGTGGATCTGACTGTAGCAAGGTCGCCACGCCTTGACACATACCCCGTTTTATTGCCTATTTCCCTGAAACAGGTGTGTCTTGTAGCGTAATTTACTACATAAACACCATGCTTTACTGAGAAACTTCAAACTAGAAATATGGACCATAAACTTGTGAGAAAAATGTTTAACAAATCAAGGGAGAAGTAGGATTATTTTCTCAGACTTCTATACAATCACACTTGTTTTTACAACTAGAGACATCATCCTTGCTGTCTAATAGAAAGAATGCAGCTTTAACCCATATTTTTATTCACTGTGGACTCATTTTTAGCTGCAGTATAAAGTCCTGCACCTCAATGGAAACAATACAACCATGACTAGAAGCAGAGAGAACTCAGAAATGTCTTTCATGCACATATATTTTAACAAAATCTTATTAGAGCTATTTTAAGGGAGAATGTAGCTTTAAAATACTAATAACCACAATTTCAGACTTGGTTCATCTTAGGTATGTCACATCACAGATGAGCAGTTCAAGGACTGTTGGGTTATTAAAAATCCAACAATTCTTTTTGTTTTTAACAGTTTCCCACTCTGAGAAATGGTGGTGATTGCAAACTATCTGGTTCTTGACATTATTATATGAGTTAGTTTAATGTTGTTGATATTGCTAACTGTAGCAGTGTTTGTGCTAAATGTTATTTAAAGCATTTAAATGTGGCTTGAAAATCATGTGACTGTGTAAATATGTCGTTTCACGTGATTCAATTTCAGAAGCTTTTTTTTTTGATTGAGGTTGACAAAAAAGAAGTATGCATGGTTTAAAAAAACCAAAATATTTATTTATTTTTAGATTGAATTAGTCAAATTCTGAGCCAAAACTGTGGTCAGGTCAACTAATCTGATTGTTTTTATTGGATTAGTCAACTCTAGACTCCAAAATTCAATATGAAAATGTCACATGTACATTCAGCCGTCCAAGGTTTTGAAACTGCATCCCTTGAAATGACCTTTCAGAAATTTCCAAGACAGAACAATTCAAACTGCATCAATTCAGGTGAAGCAAAACATTTCAAAGCTTTAAATTCAGTGGTATTTGAATGTAACTATAGACGGTTATTACAGATGTTATTGACCTTGATGAGACATGTCGAGCAGCTGCGTGGCTTTACTCCCCAGTTATTTGGAAATTAGTCTGAAAATGTCATTCTCATGACCGTTTTTTTGTGTCTCATCCAGGAAGAGGAGCTGAAGAAGGCGATCCTCGTGGTGTTTGCCAACAAACAGGACATGGACCAGGCGATGACGCCGACTGAAGTCGCCAACTCTCTGGGCCTTCCTGCCCTCAAAGACAGAAAATGGCAGATCTTCAAGACTTCGGCCTTGAAGGGCACAGGCCTGGACGAGGCTATGGAGTGGTAGGTTGTACTATACGTACAAAGTACAGGAATAAAGATACAGAAAACAAACAAAGTCACGAAGAAGCCCTTAGATTACCTTTGTTGCAGTGACTATGAAGGGTGTTCCCCTTTGATTGCTTTTCAACATTGAATCGTAGATAATTTATTTGTTTGTTTCTTGACAAGTATTTCCCTAAAAAGACTCTTTCATGTCAAAGTGAAAACAGATTCCTACAAAGTAATGTTGGTTAGTTAAAAATATGCAAAGTAAAACAAGCGATTGTGTGTTAACTCCCTTTAAATCAGTGTTTAGTAGATGCACCTTTGGCTGCAATTACAGCATTGAGCCTGTGTGGACACACTGCAATTTTGCCGCTTTTATTTATTTATTTTTTTTGCAAAACTGCTTAAGCAAGGTTGTGCATGGATCGCGAGTCAGCAGCTATTTTCATGTCCAGCCACAATTGGATTGAGGTCTGGGTTCTGACTCGACCACTCCAGAACATTCACATCGTTGTCTTTAAACCATTTCTGTGCAGCTTTGGCTCATTGTTATGCTAAAAAAAAAAAGTCTCCCAAGTTGCAGTTCTCTTTTAGATTGCATCAGGTTGTCCTCCAGGATTTGCCACATTCATTTTACCCTCTACAAGCCTTCCAGGGCCTGCTGCAGACAAGCATCCCTGCATGATGATGCTGCCACCTCCATGCGTCACAGTGGGGATGGTGGGTTTGTGGTGATATGCGGCGTTTCCTGTCCACCAAACATAGTGTTTAATCTCAATTTTGGTCCCGGCAGACTGAAGAACCTTCTTCTCGTTGACTTCAGTCTCCCACATGGCGAACTCTAGTCGAGACTTTTTAAACGGTGGCAAAGTAAACTCTGACATGAAAGAGTCTTGGAACACTTTATAAAGGCTCTGCACATATTGCTCAGTATTTTATCTCCTCTGTTTGTTCACTGAAGCTCTACTGTGTTTGCTCTGTGCTCGCAGGCTGGTGGATTCATTGAAGAGTCGGCAGTAAAGGACGCCACCCCTTCTGTACATACTCCTGACCTTTCACCCCTCTGTATGAAGCCTTGTGACTGACCCCATCCCCCCATTTCCCACTTTCTTTGGACTGGTGATTGCACTCCTATTCTCTCCTCTATCCTTTCCCCCCCTCCACCCACCTTACACCCATCTGAAGCCTTGGCCAAATCCTCCCAATGCCTAACGCCTTTCAAGCCTGGGACTGAGAAGCGAAGGCTGCAGTAACATCCGGACCGGACGCACAAAGTTTCCGGAGAACCTCAAGACCGAGGGACAACAGTTCGATCGCGGTTTCCACATTTTAAAATTCAGAAATGTGTCAGTTGTGAAAACGAATGCTAAGTTTCTTATTCCGTTTGCAGTAGTTTTGACACTATAATAAATCATCATGTGGTTTAAGTGGAGATTCTGTAGCATTTCAGTTGTGCGTAGAGCCACCAGGGGGCATCAGCGAGTCTTCAGGGGGCGAGTTTAACATAGCCAGGCTTACTTTGTGTTAGCTGGCTTGACAAAACCTGGTTAGCAACTTTCTCCGTTAACCAGGTTTGTAAAAAAAAATTAGGCTCCATGTGCTCCCATAAAAGTGACATTTTACTCTTTTTTTCTGCACAAACTGATCTTCAATCAAGAACAGGTGGTTGTACTGAAGCATGTAAAAATACAACAGACAGAACACTGCTTCTTCTTCTCACAGCTGTTTCAAATCCCAATCTGTGAACAGAGTCTCCTCCAGACGAGGTCAGCTGTGCAGGTTAAAAAAGAGCCAATCAGACAAACCTCTGCTGACTTGTATGAGACTGATTTCCTTCACTATATCCCAAAGTATTTCTCTGCACCCACTGTCCTCAAGCCAAGTGTTACTGCAGCCTCTGCTGTTTTTGTACTATATAGTCTGGCAGATGCAATGTCATGGATTTTCTATTTGTTTTTTTTCTTCTTCCTGTTGATTTGTGTCGTTTTAAATAATTTAGTGGTTAAAACCTTTTTTTTCCCCTCTCCCTCTATTGAAACCCTTTGGTTGCAGCTTTGGCATATTAGTCACTGAACACTAACTGTATGCTCAAAGTTTTCTGGTTGCATATTTATATCTGCTTGTACAGTGAAAATGATTCTCAGTAAAGATTGCTATCAGTGATTGTACCAACGGGAAGACTTTGTTAGGGTCCGAGCACTAACGGTGCAAGGACCCTATTG